CAAGAGCAGCATTAGGATTACACAGCTATAAGTTCTGAAAACTTTTCTAACCTCTTCTTAGGACAAAAAAACAAAACTGTCGTGTAAAAGAAGGTGAACAACTAGGCATATTTTGTACATATGCTGACTGGGAAGACTCAGGTGAAGGGCTGGAAGCAGGCTCTCTGTTGGAAATGGCTTTCCTTTAACAACTCAGCTTTCACGTGGCCCAAGGACAGTGCCCCCCCATGCAGACATGAAGGAGATGACTCATCCAGGGGCTCGCTAGCCCCACGGGGGCAATGAGGCTACGAGTTAGCCGGTTGGAGCTGGAAGCTTATTGTTAATCTGCCCCATCAGGCAGCACAGAAATAGCATTCTGCACTGAGGAACTTTGAGGTGGCTTTTTTTTTCTTTTTAATATGGCATAATCTGCTGGGTCTTTTTTTTTTTTTAATATGGCATAATCTGCTGGGTATTTGCAGATGCGAGAACAGGAAAACACAAACATGATTTGACACAGCTCCGACTTTAATTGATAATGTCTCTCAATATTGAATTTACTCTTTAAGGACATAAATTGGAGAATGGGGAGTGTGTTCTCTCGGGTCCGAAACTCCTGATTCTGAGATAAAAGCTGCCTCTGTGTTTCTGAGCACTACAGAAGAAATCTGGGGAGGCGAGGATGGGGTGTGTGCAGTGGGCATGGAGGCTTGACTTCCTATTAACAGTCCCAGGGCTCCCCTGGGGTGCCGGGCTGTTCCACGCAGTGTCTGCCTGTCCTGATCCCACAGTCAGGTGCCTGTGGGGCTGTGTAGCTGCGTCCGCACAAGGGCACCCTGCCCAGGGTACCCGCTGGCATGAGGCTGCATCAGTTCTTTTCCTAAGTTATAACAGCCTTGCTGGGAAGATCAATCCAGAATGGTGGCCAGGGGCATCCTGCATGGCTAATGTGCTGTTCTGAGACAGAGGAACTTGTATTTGTTTGTGGTTGGTCAGGAACTCATTTTATCACATTGAAGTCAACTTCTGACCACCTAGATGTCTTCAGAAGAGATTATTCCAGTGGTAAATCTGATCAGCATGAAGTAAACCTTGGCAAATGCCAGCTTCCTATGCATACTTCAGTTCAGCTGTCTTCAATACCTGCCCTGAAAGTAGTTTTTCTTTTCCTTCAAAAGGGGTTAGGCATTGAGGTGTTGCTTGACTAGGAGTTGGGTGGGGCGGAATTTGGAAACACGAATTTTCACAGAAGCATTTCAAATTAAGACCATCCACTGAGTAACCAGATTAGAAAGCACAGAATAGAGAAACCGGATCCAAATATGGAACTTCCTTTCTACATCCCACTCGGCAATTTACTTGTAGTAATTCAGAGTTTCTGTTTCAAATCTAGCATTCCCTCTTTAAAAGTAACTTCTTCAAAAACAGTTGATAACAAGAGGTTAATTACTGTGAATCTTCATCCTGGCAAAACTGGCTGCGCAAACCATTATACAACCACCTGTTATAATTATTTGATGAGTTATTATCACTAAGACAATCTTATGCCATTTAAATCAACAGGGTTTCAGTCCTTCACCAGAGAACTGTCTTTAAACACACACTTCTGAGTTTTCCTTTATTTATGCAGCTAAGGAGAGTAAATTGTTGAGATTAACAATAAAGCACAGAATAGTACAAGTGGAACATCATGAATATAACAGGATCTGAACCTTTTTAAATTTCCCAAACCTGAGGTGTGTGAGTCTCACCTGTGCCCCACCCAGATACTTACCAGAATTGCAACACCCAGGAACAAAGGGCGGTGTGTGTGACAAGGCAAGCCCATCTCTGGGAAGCATTATCTCAAAATCAAAGGGCTCTGATCGTCCACTGGTTTTGAAGACAAAACCCCAGTCTTTGTCTTCAGGAATTTTAAAACCTGAGACCACTCAACAAAGTTAAGATAAAGCAACCTATATACCCCAAAGACCTGTTCTCAAAACTCCACTGCAGAAATAACTATTGCAGAAAGAGCAAGGAAAAGAGAGTTCAAAAGAAGTAACTGGCATTGAACCTCTTCATCCCAACTTCCCTAAACTCTGCTCTTGTCCAGCAGAGGCATTGGCAGGACTTCCAACGACATCCTTGCTGCATAACTGTATGAAATATTTTTGCCCTGGCTGCATGGCTCAGTTGGTTGGAGAATCGTTCCATACACCAAAAGGTTGAGGTTCGATTACCTGTCAGGGCATGTACCTAGGTTGGGGGTTCGGGTAAACTTCACTCATATCTGCTCTGTTTTATTTGAAGATTTGTGGGGATAGAGGTGGGGGGTTAAATAATTAACTTGTGATTTTAAACATTTTTTTATTAAAATAAGAATGGCCATATTTCAGATTAAACATTTACATATATAAAATTTAAGATAAAATATAGGTGTTATGTGTTCATTTTTCTCTGCTTACAGTACTTGGGTGAAAAAGACACATGATGCATAAAAGTGAAAAGGAGCCCTTATTCCATAAATTTCTATTTCTGATCCAGAATATTCTATAGTATAACAAAAGCCAAAGGGATGAAATGTGATGTATTTATGTCTATATACTCTATTCTATGTGAATATCATGTTTTTTTTCTGTAATACATATTTCAAAATGTCTTATAAACAACAATAAACACAACATTCTGTACAGTATATGGATGATTCTAATGTCTAAAATAAGTTGCACTTCAGTCAGGCCCAGTAACTTATAACATGAAAAGCGGTGCATTTTAGACTAAAAATGCGTGCTTGGGAAAGAATGCTACTGGGTGTTTATCATGAGGTCCTCTCCATCAGCTCACCAAATCAAGACCAGACACTGGTAACTTCACCTGCACTCCTGGGAGGATTTGAAAAATGGCTCATACCTGTGATGCTTATGAAGTAATTACTTACGTGGTCCAACCACAGAAAGGCGCTCCAATAGAAGACAGTCTAATCATAAAAACTCGAAACAATGGCAACTGTTTTCAAACACTACACAGTGAGATGCGTAGATGCTAGGTTCTGAAGCCCCCTGCCTTGTTTTTCTCTTTCCCATTCCCTTCTGCTGCCTTTCTTACTCCCACACTCGCTGAAGAGCCAGCGCCCACCCAGGCCTGCTCCCTCACACTACGGGCCCTCTTTAGTTACGGACTTACTCCCTCGGTGCTTGTTTGTTCCACACTTTTCTCTGTACTGGTCAGAAGCGATTATTTAATAGCGTCCACCCCACCAACCTGAATCAGAAGCTCCCTGAGTACAAAGGAAGTTTTCTTCTAAGCTTTAGGGTTCTTTATGCTCAGCACAAGAGTCCACATTCACTTATCTAGTCCTCCCAACTAAAGGAATATTCTTTCTTTTTGAACTAAAGAAAAAATGCTATCACAATATTAAGAAGATTTTAGTCATTGATTCTAGTTATGAAAATCAATTTGAAAACACACACAAAATCTTCATGTTACCCCTTCTCCTTTTCCCAAGAATATGTGAGTAAATCAATGAACAGACCCATAGACAAGCACGTTGAGTCAGGGAATTTTGGGGGGCCATTTGCAGTCATTTTACGATAAGGCTCTGAGGCCAGTGGGGAGGTGCACTGCCCAAGCCTGCACAGCTAGCGAAAGCCAGCGCTGGGTGAGCCCCAACTATGCTCTTTTCAGGTACGTCTAGAGAAACAGAGCGAGCCCACTCAGCATTCACGCATGTTATATTAATAGAACTGGCTTTCAGGAGTTTGTAGCAAAAATCAACCTAATTAAATTATTATGACTACATTCTTCCATTGTTTTCATTTCCTTAAAAACGGAAAGCCTATCAAACACTGTCAGTCCAGCGGTATATGGTTTTGAAACTAAAAATAATTACACCCCATAGTTACCTTGTGTGACAACGGAAAGACCTTGACATATGGCTTCTTTGTTACATCCAACAGTAAATGACACTCAGCGTGTTTGGCTACTTGTAGTGTGAGCATGAGATAATTGCTTGGGAACCTGGGCCTGCTTATTTAAAGGGTGGGGACTCTTAATATAATTACAGAGCCAAAAACCACCTCAGCTTTACCATAGGAAATCTCACACAATGCACTGTTAGTCTTCAGATGGCTTCTCAGGCAAATTCTTCATGACTCTCCAGAATTCTCCTGCTGTTTCTGACACAAAGGTATCTGTCCTGGTGAATGGGCACCAGGGAACGGAGGATCTCTGCACTGGAACGAGGCTGAAAGCAGCGGAACACGTCAGCCAATGTGCCTTTGTCCCAGGCGTTTCAGGTTGAAATGCTTGTGTCACATCAGCTCATTGCTCCCAGGAAGTTGTATTTTTCCTAAATGTGCATCATTCAGATATAGTGTGTTATTTATTGAAGAGGGGGAAGAAAAAGTTGTGTGGGGGGAAAAAATTCAAAAACAAGAGAGCATGTCTTAGAGAACCTTGTGTGTGAAAGTCATTTTCATGTACGACGGGAGACCAGTTTCTTAATATCTAGGTATCTACTGTCTTCTTGAATTAGCTGTGCTATTATTTAAGAAAAGGACATTTGAAACACTGTTCATTACCACTTCAAGTCTTCCAGCAGTCACAGAACTTAAAAAAAAATTTTTTTTGGTGTAAATAACCCAGACCACATTGTTCCAAATTTATGATGAGAAACATTCACACAGTATTTTGAGATGCATAGAAGAAAAATTTGCTGCCAAGAGCCAAATGGCTGACAGCACTAGGAAGAAATATCTCTCTTCTCCCACCATGCAAACTTTCTTCACATTATATACACCATAGCAGAATTAAAGTCCAACCCCTGGTGCAAAAGAAACTATCAGACGCAAAGAAGGAAAGAGACTGCTTGCTCTCCCACCACCTGGATGAAGAAGGTTCCAGCTCAAGGAAGAAGCAACTTCTCATTTTATCCAATATTCTTACTACCCCAACTCAACGTTTTTTTTTTTTTTTTAATTCCCTTCCCCAGATTTGAAATAAGAAAAAAGTTAAAGAACAAAACTGCAAACTAGAAACAAGATTAGAATACCTGGTTTATTTGGAAAAATTCATAATAAAAACTGCAATTGCTTATTCTGCAACTTACAAAATAATAATTTGATATATCAAATGAATTGGTTTTCGTTATGTAAGTACAAATGGTAAAAAAATAATAATCCATGTGATATATCATGTAATTCCCATTTGGAGATCTCACATCCCTGAATTCTCCTGTTGTATGTTTGATGTCAGGTATTTTAAATCAGTTTACCAAGGAAGACCAGGTTCTTAACTATATTTAAGTTTTTACTTACAGCTGTAATCTATCAGAAGCTGTGTCTATATGACTGGAGCCTGCTTAACTGAGTTGAAAAATTCAAGCCATTTCTTCTCCTAAGGTTGTTTTAATGTTACTTTTGTGATAGGAATGGCTTTCCGACTGCTTTACTCAACAACCTAATCATATCTATCAGTCACAATGAGTTAGACCCAGTCCATCTTTCAACGTAATCTACTCTGGTCCTGAACATATAGACACAAAACAATACAGATTAATATGTCATTTTCCCACACCCCCAACCCTATAGACGGCTTTTAAAGAGAAAATTTCATCCTAGTATTTCCCCACATAGGAAACCTTACTACTGCAACAGATCTGGCCATGAAAGAATATCTTCCTACATGACATATCAGGTTAACGTGAAGCTTAGCAAAACATCAATTACTTGGGATATTAATTAAAAAGTCTCATAAATAATGTGTATTTAGGAAACTCTTGCTTCTTTAAGTAGCTGAAGGCTAGAAAAATATTTATTTTTTTACATTTCTTTTAGAATATTTGATCTCTGACAATTTTCACCAGTATTTCCCTCTTCTCATTTTCCCCTAATAGACCCAGTCCATTTCCTCTGGGAAAGACAGACACTTGGTCAGGTTACTTAAATTTCTGGAGCCTTCTCATTTTCACCTTATAAAATGGCAGGTTTCATATTCATCTTCTTTTATACATGCAGTATAAATTGTACGGACAGATATTTAGAAAATACTGGCCTATCACAGGTAATTAGTTAAAAAAGTAAGTTTTGTTTAACTCTATAAAACATATATAAAAGATGAATATGAAACTATAACACCATTTAAGAAATATTTTGTCCCAAATTATTTTAGCACTTTGACTAGTCTAATGACATCAACCCTGCCCCCCCCCATAGGTTGAAAGTATTCTGAGGAAAACAGTGTCTTCTTCTGGAATCCATGCGGCAGCAGGCCCACGCCCACCTTAGGCGGAGGAGTAGAAGTACCTGGGCTTGGCGTTGCCCAGGAGGTCGTCTTCGTAGTTGGGGAGGCAGCAGAAGAAGAAGGAGCAGCCGATCAGGATGATCGTGGCCGCCCACCCGAAGCCGTAGGCCCAGTTATAGATGTAATTGACAGCGGGGTTGAGGTGCAGAGTGAAGGTCTGGGTGTACTTCACGGGGTAGATCACCAGGGAGATGATCTGGAACACAGCTGAAGGGAAGGAAACCCAAAGCATGAACGCACGCCCAAGTGAAAGAACGCGCGGGAACGACAGACAGGCCAACTCCCTCTCCCGGCGATTCTGCCTTTAACTAAGTGTTAAACCCACCTAAACAAGGCGAAGGGAAGAGGCTGGGGTATCTAGTTAATCACGAGCCACAAAAGGTTACTAAATATTGTGTGTCTGAGATACCTGCATTGAGCAGAACACTAAACATAGGAAATAGGGACAGAAGACAACCAGAGACCCACTCTACAGTCCACGTGTGAGTATTATACACACTGAAGTAAGAAGCCAAAACTGTGGTGTATGATCGAATGGTAATGAAGAGTCTATTTTTTCATCTTTGTATATCCTGTGCCAAAGACATGGTTAATGTTTTCAGTGTTAGCAAATAATATACATATATATATATACATGTACACATGTGCATACATACACACGTGTATATCCATTCAAAATACACCATTGGCATAGCCATTCAATAAAGGGATGCCTAAATGAAATGACGAACCAATGATGCAATCGGTGATTGTGGAGACTCACCAGAAAAGGAAGTGAGGATNCCACTCTACAGTCCACGTGCGAGTATTATATACACTGAAGTAAGAAGCCAAAACTGTGGTGTATGATCGAATGGTAATGAAGAGTCTATTTTTTCATCTTTGTATATCCTGTGCCAAAGACATGGTTAATGTTTTCAGTGTTAGCAAATAATATACATATATATATATACATGTACACATGTGCATACATACACACGTGTATATCCATTCAAAATACACCATTGGCATAGCCATTCAATAAAGGGATGCCTAAATGAAATGACGAACCAATGATGCAATCGGTGATTGTGGAGACTCACCAGAAAAGGAAGTGAGGATCTGAAGAAAAAGCAGAGATGGAGAGATGGAGGGAAAGGCGAAGAGCACTCCAGGCTCGGGGAATAGAAATGCAAGAGGGGCTTTGGGGAAGTGTAAGTGAGGAAATAAGAAAGAAAACATATGTCAGGATCTCTAGCCTTTTTGCTATAAGTCACATTATTACAACTATTATTAATCATATTAACATTTTAAGCAACTTAAAGAGAACTCAATCTTTTATAGTCTTTTTCAGTGGACACACAAACTTCTATAAAGCTATAATGATAGATCCATATGCTGTGCTATGTTCTGCATTTTTTGACTTAATATTTCATATGTGCATTGCCATGTCAAAGGGTTTTAGTTCTGTAACATTACTTTTCATGAAGAGGGGTCAGCTGGCTGTGCTCCTGGGAATGTACCGGGGAGTGTACGGTCCTCACCACCACTTTTTCTTTTGCCTTAATTTTTTTCTAATGGCTCCCCAGGTAAAACTCCTAAAGGCATTCTCTTTTTCCTTTCCTGTTCTTTTTTAATTGCTAGAAAGACTGTAGATGTTTCCACGTCTTGATTTGTTGCTTCTATTTCTCAACTCAAAATTTACTCTTCTCTAGCTTAAAAGTTTCTCTGCTTCTTGTATACCTTAAATGGCAAATTCTTACTGGTTAAAAGTTTGTCAGTCACTGCAAAATACTGCATAAGCAAAAGCAGTCCTTCTCTGTGATGTTCTCTAATTTGCCTAGCCATACATGTTAAATATTGCGATCCACCCATTTTGGTACATCATACATGAAGTTCTTATACTGGTTTAGATCAATTTCTGTAAAATCTAAGTGTTCAATTTTTCTGATTTTAACCCAATAATATATATACAATTAAAAATAATTGTTGCTGTGAAATATATCTTAAACATCAAGCAGGCCTTATTGAATATTATTATCACTAAAGATGTATTGAGATTTCTAGGCTTATTATATTTCTACAAACAGAAATATAATGTACAGGATACAGGAGGCAACCAACTGATGTTTCTCTCTCCTCTCTAAAATCAATAATCACATCCTCAGGTGAGGATTTTAAAAAAAAAAAAAAAGTTTTTTAATCAAGAGGAATTTTTAAATGTACACGCAAGGGCAGAGACTGCATGGGCCAGTTCTCTGAACCACCCCCTTCCTCTCAGCCAGGGCCTTTTAGCCCCTCATTTGTCCCACCCTAAGCTCTTCAAACACCTTTCCTAAGCTCAGGGAACCTGGCACAAAGTGGTCTCCCTCTGGGCTCACGCTTGATGCCATGGATCTGTGTTCAAGGCCTTGTGCTCACTTTCGGTTTGTACTCCAGGTCTGTGGCTGGATTTCTGCTTTGCTCCCATGAGCCTAAGTTATCTTGAGAAATGACCTGTGGCCTCGCTTTGCCCTTACCAGCTTCTTCTCCTTTCCCCTCCTTAGGAAATCCAGTTTTGCATCAAAATCCAGCTCTGTGGCTGGGGTCCCGCCTCTTAGACAGACTCCCCTAGGGCCAGGTGCCCTCCTAAAATTTCAAATTATCCTTGCTCCTGGAGTCCTCACTCTTATATTCCATGAGTAAACGTTTACTCAGAGCCCTACACACCTGCATAACTAAATTTCCGGCTCCCCAGCACTGGAGATGAGGCAATTCCAGAGGTAGCCTCTTCTGGGTCCCCCATCCCACTGCAGACAACCCTTCCTGATTGCCCACATCATAATACCACAAAAGGATTTTACGTATCCTTTGATATGTAAAATGGCTCAGGGACGTTCCCACCACACCCATCCCCAGCATGGGGCTCACTGGGCCCACTGTGGACACACTGCTCTTCCAGGGCTGACTCAGCCCTGATCCCTCGGAGTAGGGATGTCACTGGACGTGGGGTTACCTACAAGAGGTGTTATACAGAATGACAACCTTCCTCACTTGGAAGGGGAGCAGAGAGGACCAGCTGAGCCACAGAAGGAAGGGATCAATATCTTACAACACATCCCTCCCCTGTGATTTCTGCCCGTGGTGACATGTTTTCTGAGGACAGATCAGAAGCTGGAATTGTAATCTTGCTTGTGGACTGGCCACGCCTACGCTGATGTCCACGGAAGGTGGGAATGAAGAGTTGCCGACACGCAGTCTTACCTGCCAGGGCCAGGAGGCCTCCGATCACTCTCAGGAAGACGAGCATCTGGGGTCCGCAGAGGGCAAAGAAGGAAAGGATGAAACAGATGACCAGGATGATGAAGCCGCAGAAGAGCGTGGCCGCGGCCGCCCTGCCCCACGCTGCAGGAAAGGAGACACTGTCAACAAGGCAGCCGGCCCCGTTCCAAAATCACCGGTCAGAGTACCGCCAGGACTGTTCTCCCTTTCTACTCATTGTATTTGGGTGGAAGGACGGTTTTTCTTTGGACAAACCTTAAGCATCTCCATATGCCGGGGAAATTAGGCAATTCATATATGTAGGACGCTGATATACCCATGCGCAGCAAGGCCTTGTCCTCTCGGTTTTAGGACAAATGTTTCTATCTCTGAGATGCAGGTTAAACTTCATTAAGCTGTTTCTCATGTAATAAACTGGCCACATAAACTGGTAGATTTAAAGGGTCACTCAAGTCCTAACACAACACGACCATAATAAATAGCATCTTGGGCACTGAGCAATCCAAATTACAATCTCTTTAGGACATGTTTCCAACACCTCTCAAAGGAACTTTGTTTCGTATCACTATTTGGTTCCATGCAAAAATAACCTTTGAAACATAAACTTATGACCAGGCAGAGATATGAACTAAAGCAATTGAATTGTAAAGTAACTGATTTTTTATTTTTTTATAACACAGTTAAGCACAGTCTTTCTAGATTCTTGCCTAAATTTTAACTTCTGGAATATTCAGGACTTATTACACAAGAGTTCTTAATTATAGATGTTGGCCCTAACATGGAGCTCTGAGTTTGAAGACCTGCAGGGGCACCTCTGTGTCACACTACCCTAAACCTGTGCAAACGGAGAGCCATGAACCCAGGCTAGTGATTCCAGTCAGTAATTCTTATCGTTCGACCTGCTCTGGTTTTTAAGATTTCTTCACATACAACCTTCTCTCTAGAGGTAATAACTAACATTTATGAAGTAATTGCTCTGTGCCAGATATATGTAGCTCACTGAATCCTCACCATAACTTTTTAAAGTTCATACTAATATCACTTCTTTAGAAATGAGGCTACATAGTAAGACTTTGAGAGCTCAGCCTGCCATAGCCACCCAGCTTCTAAGTGATGTAGGCAGAGTGTGATTTAGAGCCTGCCTGAATCCAAAACATGACCTTTTTTAAAGCTATAACTTACATACCATAAAATTCACCCTTTTCGAGAATACAATTGGGTGGTTTCTATATTCACAGGTTGTACAACCACCACCACCACTTAAAATTCTAACATTTTTATCGCCCGAAAAGAAACCGCATGCCCTTCCGTGCCCCATTCTTCCAGCTTCTGACAACCACTAATCTATTTCCTGTTGCTATAAATTTGCCTATTCTGGACATTTCATAATAATGGAATCATATGCTCTGCGGCTTTTTTGACGGTCTTCTTTCATTTAGCATAATGTATTCAAGGTACATCTATGCTGTAGCACGTATCGGTACTTCATTCCTTTTCACAGCCAAAATATATTCTACTGTATGGATATCCCACGGGTTTTTTATCCATTCATTCATTAATGGACAAACACGCACTCTTAACCTATTACTCTTTGTTGCATTTGAAAAGGAGTCATGCGCACCTCTGCCCTGGTTTTACTCCAACTGTAATACAGCTCGGCTGACAAATTTATCCGCACTTAATCCTAGGTGCCTTGACTGGTCCAAGTTAAAGATTTGGGGTAGCAGGAGGAGCAAGGGCTTTGGAAGCAGAGCTGGGCCTCATTTATACCCTGCCTCTGCCACCTGTAAGCCACTGTCAGTCTGAGCAGCTCTTGACCAAAGCTAAAAATACCTTGTTTCAAGATTACTGTAAGGATGAGAGCTTTTGCATGAAAAGTCACAAAGCTCAAAAAATTCCTCCTGTATCTCTATGATTTTTCTCCAGTAACTCAAGTTTTCATTTTATTCTACATTCGCAAAGTTCTGCACCATCACATAAAGGTGGTTCCTCAGTTACCCACTGCGTTTTCATATCTTCATCTGTTATAAACAAACCTGAGCTCATTCCCTTCTGCAGCTCCCACATTACCTCTAGATCTTCCTCTGGACTCATGAATGACTGGGACATAATAGGTAATGAAGGAGAGGACACATTTTTCTATGCTCAAATAGCATGTTTGTACACAAACTACCCCTTAGTGGCAGTGATGTGGATGGGGCTGAGACAGTACAGGAGTGAGCCTGGTTTTATATTTATAATTTTTATTACTTCCCTCCAAATCTTCCTCTTCGCTGAGATCAATAAGCGATTTTAGGGACAAGGTAACATAGAAATGTTTTCTTTTAAAATAGAAATGAATAAAGTCAAAATATGAAATTGAGTCTCGTTTCTCACTTTTGCCTTGTCTCTCAAGCACGGTAGCCTTCAATAGAAGAGGAACCATGCTTTGAAAAGAATATTAATTAATTGGCTCATCTCAAAGTCTAACCCACACACCACTGAGTCAAAATCAACAGGGGAGCTTATTAGAAATACAGATTCCTGTGCCTCCCTCCAGGCCTACTGAATCAGAGCTCGAGGGGTAGTGCCCAGGAACCCACATATAATCTGTGAACATAAATATAAACACAGAGCACTTTAAGAACTTTTCCCATGCTATGTTAAATCAACTCAGTTCATGTCTTGCTTATTTACAATGCTGAATCATCAAAATGGAAAATTAAGGACATTCTGTCTTGACAAAGGCTACCTTGGAAGCAGACCTGTAAAACCTGCTCCTGCAGATGGAAACACCCACACTGACTCACTGAACTATCATTTAAGACAGAAATCTTGGCATGGCTTTAAAGACTCTATTCTGACTGTTGAATGACAAGTAAGGCAAACTGCCTTCTCACATGTCAATGACTATTTTGTTGTAAAATGATGAGATGGATCCTACCAGGTCTGAGCAGGGTCCTCCCAGGGCAATACTCTGTCCAAGAAGGGGACCCATAGCCAGGAAGACTTAGTACATTCTCCATGACATACATTTGAAAAGTCAAGTCTGTACCCTAAGTACCTTTGGTCTCAATTACCCAGAATGAGCCTCAAATCTACAAATTTACCCAACTCTTTTGGGAACTATTTATATTTTTATATTGTATCATGATCTACACTGTATCATATTTACCAACCTTAATGGAAAATACTTTTTTTTTAAATTTTATGTTTGTTTAAAATATTACAGAAGTCCCTTTTTCTCCCCAATGACCCATTCCATCCCATCCCTTCCCCCTCCCCAGTCCCTCTCCCCACCATTGTCCGTGTCCTTGGGTTGTGCATATATGCATACTGACTTTTAAAACTTGTCCTAAAGCTACTTCTTCTATGATTCAGATGGTTCTCAGTTCTTCAAAGGCAGACTGTCCATGTTGATCTTTTCTGAAGATGAATCTCCGTCTTTCATTATTATTTTACACACTTTAAATTTTATTGCCTTTCCTAATTGTGTTTATGTGTGTGTGTAGGGAAGCTGGCAGGGTTCTCATAGTCAATTACACTCTGAATGGAGGCCACAAAAGCATACAGTACACCAGGTAAACAGTTTCCCCGTAGGAAAGCTTTGTGATTGTTTGTTTTGTATCCTTAAGGGAAGATAAATTTGGTGTTTTATATACATAATCTATTATGTCATAAGTTTATTTTCTAAATACCACTTGGAGAAGTTCATGTTGTCAAATAAACCAGCAGCATTATAAATCCACTTTTAAATAAGATTCATTAAAGATTCATTTACATAAAGAATGGCTTATCAAATTTTGCTCTGGCTTACAAAGACTCAACATTAAATCCACAACATGGAAACCATGCTATGGTCACTAAAGAAATTCTGAGCTTTTCCTAGGAAATGTTTTTAAGTTTTGTGCATGAAAACAAATGCTATATCTTTTCCCAGAGATTACATAGGAAAACACAATGTTATAAGGCAAACATGGCTAAGAAAAGATCAGTAGGGTCAAGTGGTAAGAAAGGAGCAAACAAAGTAAAAATAAATACCTTGAATGTCAAGCTAGAAACCATAAATCAAACTGAAGTTTGTGAAAAGAAAAAAGTAAATAAACTTTATTTTAAGACATAGAAGCACTGCTGATATGTTTCATATTGTTGGTAATATTTGAGAGACTGTCACTAATTTTTCCCTTTTAATGGTTTTGCTGCAGTCTTCCGTAGTTTTACATTAAACAAAACAGTGTGTGGTCTGGCTCCTTATTCAGCGCCCTGCAGACACCAGCCTGTTAGCCAGTGACAGTAGGGTCCCATTCCAGAACAAAGGATTCATCTATTAATAGTACCAAAGACCCCACCTCGTGAATCTGAGATTTTGTCAGATCTCTTCATATTGTTTCCATAAAATTCTTGATATGATATACGGGCAGAACTGAAAACTGGATAAAATCATAATTGAAAAAATTAAAAAGATCCTATCTACATATAAATATAAGCCTGGGTGGATGATATCTTCAAACAGACTTGCATGTTCAACGAATGAAGAAGTAATCTGCGGAATACAGGACAGTGCTTCTAAAACTTAAAAGTGCTCACGAATCGCCTGGGAATCTTGTTCAAACACAGATTCCAGTTCAGTAGGTGGGCCTGAGACACTGAGTGTCCAGTAACCTCCCAGGGAATGCTGATGCTGCTGACACTTGGAGCAGCAAATATCTACAGGACTACACCTAACAGGCCTACAAAGCAACGTGCATAGGAGGCAATTCTGCAGACATTTTGGAAGGCAGAAGGAATGGCTTTAAAGGAGGAATGACAGGGTCACCGGGAGAGCCCCGCAGTTGGTGTGAGATTCCTTACGTGCTCTGCATTTTCTCCTGAAGAAGCCAGATGATAACTACCTACCATTGTGTTTTGACCGTTACCCTTCATGATCTTTTAGAGTCTGAGTGTGAAACCATCCTACACAGGAAGATGTGAAATTGTAGCCTGAATTCACACAAGATAAACAGCAGCGGATTTAGGACCTACCCTTAAATATTTACAAGCCTGTCAGACAGAGGAAGGCTGCAAAGTAGAATTTACAGGAAAGCGCATTTCAGCTCCATCGGTAGAGGAGGGTGTAAGAGAAGTGCTTTTAAACAAACAGCATTGTCAAGAGAACTGCATTAAGAGGCTGAATGAAAGGAAGAAGCCCAGATCAGGCTCGGGCAGTGCTGATGAGAGCGCTTGGAGAAAGCTTGAATGGGCGTATTATTATTTTTTTTTTAATCCTCGCCTGAGGATATTTTTTCCACTGCTTTTCAGAGACAGTGGAAGGGAGAGAGAGAGGGAGAAACATCGATGTGAGAAAAACACATCTATTGGTTGCCTCCCGCCCAAGCCCCAACCAGGGCTGGGGACAGCCTGCAAGCAAAGTATGTGCCCTTGGCCAGAATGCAACAGGGACCCTTCAGTCCGAAGGCCAAAGCTCTAACCACTGAGCCAAACCAGCCAGGGTGGAGTACTCTGATTCCCTTGTAATTCTAATTATCTACGAGTCTGTATCTGTTTACAGGGAGAAGACAAGTTAGGTCACTAACAAGGGATTGAGGCTCCCAGGTGATTAATGCTAAGTGCAGCAAATGTGGAGTGCACTGGGCAAGATCACTGGTTTCTAGACTTCTAGATTTTATACATCAATATATATATATCTTTTTTAAACTATGAAAACCAATTGAGCGTGGCCAATTTTTTTATTTTGCCATGTAAGGACATGAACACATGCCCACAAAGAGTAATCTATCTACTAATTAATGCCCACTTTAATAAAATAAGAACATTTTAATATCTCACCCTGCCCCCTCCAAAGCCACAAGAGCATCTCAAAATGAAGCCCCTTAAATTGAATTCAGCCTAATTTAAACCTATTAATTTCATACTCATATTTCTCATTTCCTGTGCATTTAAGACCCATAGAGCTAAAAGATCTAAAAATATTTCAGATAATACTCTGACTCTTTGATTTATCCAAGAATGATGTCATGTGGAAAAAAAAAAATTCACTGCATCCTGTGGTATCAAAGGGTGTCTTTGGTAAAAAGGAGGCTCTGCACTTCTGTCCAGATCCAAGGCAAACGCTCTTCAACTCTGACTCCCCCCTTGCATTCTTGGTGCATAAACTCACTCCACTGTTCTCCACCCTGACAAGCTAAAGCTTGCTTGGGATTTGAAATCTACATCACTGATGCTTAAAATATCCTCCTGATGTATTTTTTTCTTAAAACTGAAAAAGAAGGTACCAATAGTGCAAAAATAGCATGTGTGAACATGCATTCAAGTGTAACTTTGCATTTTATTTATACATGAAATTTGAATCATTTCAATGTTTAAATCTAGATTTTCTTTTCCTGTTTTGAGAAATATACACCACAAGTTTTTAAAAATTCAAACAAGTATCTGTAAAGCTGGGTATTTATTTAATTGTTACTATCATGAAAAGAACATAATCAGCATGTAATCTGGCTCATTTATAGGAAAAATGAGGTGATATGGTAATCTGAAATTCTTAGAAAAGTTAATAACAGCAAAAAGAGTATAATATTATTTTTTTACAGAATATTAAGGAACTATTTACCTTTATTTAAAATATCTATATTATTTAGTATTAATGCCAGTACTTCCCAGGAATAACCTATCTTTTAATACCAAAAATAATGTATTAATATTATGGCCCTGGCCAGGTAGCTCAGTTGGTTAAATACAACAAGATTGCGGGTTTGACCCCCAGTCAAGGCACAAACAAGCTGCGACCAGTGGATGCATAAATAAGTGGAACGACAAATCAGTGTTCTCTCTCAAATCAATAAATAAAAATTTTTAAATAAATAAATATTATGAATATCAATAAAAGAGACGGTCAAGCACTTCGTAATAAAAAGGTAAACTTATTAGTTACAGTGGTAAATCACAATATTTATTTTCTAATATATATCAAGAAGTTTTTTAAAAACATGGATATACCCACTCAATTCTTTCATTTAAATTAGAGCCTTCAACCTTAGTCCTTGTGTTTACACATATGTGGGAGTGTGTGTAAACTGCTCACTACATTTTAGATAAGGTAATGTAAACATACTGTTTTCAGCAAGGCCTTATTGAGGCCATCTGAACATCTCCAGGGGTCAGAGATGTCTAAATCATTGACCTACATGCAGGAATACACAATTGCAAGGCAAAACTAGCTAACAGTCCATACCAGGAGGTGGAGCAGAAGTATAATGAACACTTCCATTCATCTTTGACTACAATAGCCCGAACTGGACCTCTCCTGGTGAATTCGTATTTATTTTCTCCTTCCCAGAGTCACCTAATGACAGTGGATCCTGCCTTCATGATTTGATTCTGGTCTTGAACTAAAGGCATGTCTAACGCATTACTGACAATTATTTTTCCAAAGGTCACAGAAATAACTAAAATGGGGTGTGAAGGCTACCACCCACTCCTGAAAATCGGTCTGACCACATCATAAAGGTAGTAATAGATTTAAGACTCACTTGGAAAACTGAACTTTCCAAAGACCAGTTTCTCTATTAAATTAGTCTGTATACACTGGGTCAATGTTTTCTTTACAATCAAAAGTTAATGCTTTAGACTTCTAATTTAAAAAATTAAACAAACTGAGAAACAAAACCTGCTTACTCCCTTCCAAATACAAAGCAGTATATCAATCTGAGGTTGAAAGAGCCACACCCTAGAAAGGTGAGCTCATCCTGCAAGAAAAATAGGAAGAAGACCTGACTTGAAGTGGTGAACACACAATACAATATACAGATGCTGTATTAGAATTGTATGCCTGGAACCTATATAATTTTATTAACCAATGTCACCCCAATACATTCAATAAAAAAATAAAGTGTACAATTCAATTTTAAAGAAAAAAGAAAAACTGCATTGTGTGTGTTTCACAAGAGGGCTCTGATCACAGCCAGAGCCTTGCAGGCCAGGTCACGCCCCAGGAATAGTGCTGCTGGGGTTCTGCCAGCACCCCAATCCCTACAAGGGCGCAGCTTCTATTTCATATGTGAAGGATTGCTGAGTATTTTTGGGGTCTGTATTAGTCTTTGCAGTGAGGTATGATTATGATAGTCTGTTTAAAAACACACTTATTTAAGCAGACCTACTAAGTCCCCTACAAGATACTGAATTCGAATGCATTTTAAGATACCGATTATATTATTTCAAAGAAATTAACTCTCTTTAAAAACCTAAGAGACTTTCCATAATACAAACCCTGGCAGGCATGCTGTTTGTGTTTTAAGGAAACAAGCAGGAATTCCGTTCAGTCTTTACCCTTTATGACCTGCTAATGAGGACCATGTCTCCTTTCAGAGAAAAGTTCACGGTGGAACTTCCAAACAATTCCACAGTGTGTAAGAATCAGCACCAAGCTCTTGACAGAGGGTCCCAGAAATAAACTGTTTGGTTGGAAGCTCTGGGCCATTTGGGGGTGGGGAGTCAAGTCACAGGTCCCAGCAGGAAATGAAAAAAGACTCAGTTGGTAAGGTCCCGGTGAATATGACTTTAAGCTTCTGATTATGTTCATACTTAAACCCTCTGTTCTTCAAATCTACCAGTTAGCAGGGGGTGGCATCAGACAAAACCACACTCCTCTCCCATCTGGTCTGTAAGCACTGCGGCTTCCTCCATGCTGGAAAAATAAAATACTCCATCTTCAGTGTGTTAACTCTGCTTCATTTCGCTGGTGTGGAAAATGTATTTGTTTTTCGATTTCAAATCACATTCAAATAAAGGTTGTTAAACAGCAAGCCCGTGCTTAAACCGAGAAGACACCACCACCCACCACAAAAAATACTAACAAAAACTAGCCTGAAGCGGTAAATAATACAGTATTGACTGAAATCATAACTGATGAAATTGTCACTGAGAGCATGTCTACACCTTTAGAGAAGGCCCGTATCTAAACTACTTATATTTTAATCATAAGAACCACAGGAGGAGGCGGAATGGGAAGAAATTTCAGTAGGTCTCCAAAATTTTTTTGCTTTATTCATTATATTTACACATCAAACCTTTTCAGATGGCTGAAATCCTCTTTTGCATAGAGCGGACAAAGCCTACTAAAAAAACACTGTTTTAACTAGGGGCATTTTCTTCCAGTGTTGAGCCTGGATTTGGCCACTCAAAGCTGCTACTGCTTTGTTTTGTTTTGTTCAGATCGGATGCATGAAACTAAACTCTGAACAGGTTTTTTGTTTTTTTTAATCACCCATTATTCCTAACCCTGTTCAGTCCCTTCGCTTAAGGCGCCTTCCGAAGGCCGCGCACTCCCATTGCGCCGGCCTGGAGGACTTCCCGGAGGAGGCGGCGGCGGAAGGCACTCACCGTATTCCATGAGGCTCTGGCAGCCATCCGCCTCGGACCCGCTGCCGCCGCCCTCGTGGAAGCATCGCCACCACAGGGAGGACGTCTGGATGTGGTCGCTCGACTGCAGCCAGCCGCGGCCGGCCAGCGCGATGATGTCGAAGGCGATGGCGCTGAGCAGGAGCAGGGGCAGGATCCACCTGCAGCGCTCGCAGGCCAGGCCGCAGCGCAGCATGT